ATCACCTCCTGGATTCCACCTTCCCAGCATTAGTCAAAACAAGAATCGTGCAATTCCCACCCAAGGGGACCTCCCAACACTTTGGGAAGGAGCATGGAAGGCACCGAGAGAGTTTGTAAGCAACACCTTGGGTGCAAGTGCTTGCCCAGGCAGAAGTGAGAGGCCACAGAGCAATGGCAGGGATGCTCATGGAAGCACCCATACTCTGCACAGCAGTGCCCAGGGTACAAGAAATGTAGGAAATGAGTCAATGAGTTGAGGTAGGAGCAGACCAGATCGAAGTACTGAGCCTTTCATCCATGCCCAATGCCATGGTGATGTTTGGGGGCATTACACAGCTCCCCAGCTAAAAGCACGGAGAAGAAAATAATTAAATGGGTGATTTTTCAGTATGGTTACATCCCTATTTTCTCCAGGATTTTATACAAAGTACTTGACTGGGATACCAGAGCTGTGAGAAAGAGCTAACAGCTATGACAGCGAGGTGACAGCCTTACCCACAGCCCACTCGATCAATACAGATGGATCTGCTGCTCCGAGGGCTGCTGGCTCCCAGAGCCAACATGCCCCCTTCCCCATGTGCTGCAACAGAACCTGTGGGTCTATCCTACAGGTCCCCCCAAGATGGGGAGTACCTTGGGGGGCCAGGCAACATTGCACCTGCCCAGCACATAGGAGGGGGTGGCAGAGGCCAGCCCTGCTCCCAGAGCTCAGCCTGAAAACCTTGTTCTGGCTTGTTTTCCCACTAGCTTTGGGTGCCTGACTTGTAATAAGTAAGCCTGAAAAGCAGGCTCCTTTTCAGACATGCCAGGCACCCGCAGCTCCAGCTCATAGACGCGTCTCCAGGGAGTCAGGTTCCAGGTGCACCCAAAAAAACCCGTGTTTCAGCCAATACCCAAAGGCCTCTGCTTCCTTGTCTGAAAAAAGCTGGGCAGTGCCCAGGCCCAGGACTCCGAGGCTCAAGGGGAAATTGCTTTATAGCAGCCAGTCTAATTGCACTGAAATTATGAGATCAAGCAGTAAATTCACGTCTGTGTTCGTTGCTCTGGGTGGCAAAGCTGCACTGGCAAGTGCCTGATCTCCAATCGCTGCAAATTCACGTTTCATTGGAAAGGGAAGGAGGGGGTTAATGAAGGAGAGCATTGCCAGTTGGAAGTGCTACCTAAAAAGGGTTTCTCCTACTAGCTGAAGCAAAATGGTTTCTCTTGCCAGCTTGTTTACTCTGCTGCTGAGAGCAGGGGACCGCCAGGTTTTGCTGCTGGAGCCCACTGCAGGATCGACGGCTGCGAAACCAGCCCTGGCACCAGGACCTGACCAGGGCTGGACCAGCTGTGGTACAGCTGCACCATGCCCAGCCCAGGGCCAGCCCCACAGCACCCACATCACAGGACCAGCATCATCTACACCAGAAAACGTGCAGCTACAGCCCTCCAGAAAGCAAATCCTGGGCCCACCCTCTTCTCCTTTGGGGAAGTAGTGGTTCTCACCATTTAAAGGCCAGTTAAAAGCTGCAATTACATTTAACTGAGACGGTTTTACATGAACTGTCCACTACAGCAATACGGTCCTTAGGGCCCTCTCCATGGGAAGGGCACACGAACCCCAGCAGAGACCAGGGAACAGGGGTGCTGGACAGAACACAGCGGGGTTCCTGTGAAAGGCAAGGCACCAAACCCACCCTGCCCCAGCTTGCTGCCACAGAGCCAGAAAACGGACAGGACTCGTTATCCTCTTTAGAAAAGCAGAGCTTGCAGCCATGTGCCAAGACAGGTATCAGCCAGATTTCCGTCTCTGGGAGATTTTGGAGTCCACAGGCCAAACTGAAGCAGCGCAGCTCTCACAGCGCACAGCCCGTCCTGACTCCGGGATTAAAGCCACCGTGTCTGCAAACAAAACACTGGCACCTGCCAGGAGAGCCAGCCAGGGAGGAGAGCCAGCCTGCAGCTGCCACAGCCTCACCATCCAGAGCACAGTGCCCAGCAGTCAGTGTGAGGATCAGGCCCAAGTTTTATAGCCTTTATATTAATTACTCAGAATCTAAATAAGATTAAAGTTTTAATTCCGTCTTCATCTCCTAGAGGCTCCTGCTGTGCTCTCGGGTTTTTCCTGGTGCCACGAAGCTTCTCAGGCAGTTACAGCAGAGGGCACTTCTCTGACAGCCAGAGACAGCAGCAGCTCCCACATCAGGGCTGCCCTGTGATGCCCAGCCGGCCCCGAGGATGCACCACCCTCTGCACATCCCTAAACCTGGCACTGCTTCAAGCAGGGCCCTGCAAAGTCCACCTGACCCTTACTGAAAGGCATGACCTGAGGCCAGTGGGGCCAGATGACAATTAAAGAGCAGAGGGATGGTACTGGGCAGTGTCCTGAGGCCATGCTGAGAGTCAGAGGTGGGATGGTGAGCAGGAGCTCGAGGCAGAGGGTGTCTTTGTGGCTGGCACTATCTGCCCTCCAAGCTACCCCACCTCAACCGGCCAATGGGCAATTCAGGCTCTTAATCTTGACCACCTAGGCTGCAGTTTTACAGCTGGAGACAGGCCAGAGAGCAGCAAATGCCAGCTGAGCAAGAGAGACAATCGCTGCCTGTGCTGGCTGGGTGAAGGATGTGGCACAGACTGGAAGCAGCAGCACTCACTGCCCTGGTTCCCCAGTGCCCATGAGGCCACAGATAATGCTGCAGAGCCGCAGCTGGGGCTCAGTCCACAAGCACCAACCCCAACACTCCATGATGGCAGAGCCTTGGATGTTGCTGGGCAGGAGCAAGGCCTGGCTCCAGCTGCCAAAGCACTCAAAGCTCAGCACTGGTCTGTGTGACGTGGCCAAACCCCAGTCATGCTGCACCCCATAGTATCTGCACAGACCAGTTCCAGTTATCACCTCCTGGACCTCCAACTGCTGTGCAGCCACAGCCTTGGAAAAGCCAACCTGCAGCCAAGAAGAATTGCAAGGGAGAGAGACTGGTGGAGGAGAGAAGAAGGACACAGCACAATCCCCCATCTCTAACACTGCCTGTACCCACTGCTTGGAGCTACAGCCACCCCTCTGGACAGGGCTGCAATCACTTCCCACATTACAAGCAAGGAAAGCAGGTCAAGAGCATCCTTTAAGAGTTTGGGAATGCACAGTGTCATTCACCCCAGTTTGCGTGGCTGAAGGCAGACTGTGGAGAAGGTTTCTCTATGAGCAAGAATGACTTAGCCAGCTGCTGCTCAGGGGACAACAAGCTACCCCAACTGCCCTTCCACAGGGACAAAATCCTCTGGTGCTGGGTCTGCTCCCATTCCCTTGGGTGGAGGACATGGTGAAGCTAAGGTAGCAGAGTCCAGCCAAGCCAAGAAGCAAGGAAAGCCCTCTGAGCATCCCCCCACAACACAGGCTTGGCACGGTGCCCTTGCCCACTGCTGATGATCCAAGTGACCTCCTTGTATCCCTGTCCCTATGGTTTGGAGGTTGGGCTGCACCAGCAGGAGAAAGGGCTTCAGAAGTTTTCTTTCCACTGGGCTCTCCACAACCTGCAGACATGAGGCTGCCTGTAGCCACCGCTCAGGTATGTACACCAGCGTGTCCCCCAGGGCAGGCACCCAGCCTGGGGGACCTCTGCAGCCAGGGGGAAACCCCCTCCTCTATCCCCTGCCTTCTGCTTTCTACAGAAAAGTAGATAAGTCCATAAGTAGCTCCCACTGTCCCAGCACTGCAGTCCCTTCTCCCACCCAAACACTGCAGCCCCTGCCCCCAGAACCCCCAGATCTTACCTGCTGGCTGAGGGCTGCTGCTCTGTGGTGACATGAGCGTCCCCAGGTGCCTCTGCTCCCTGGGCAGGCAGCTGGGTGTCTCGGTGACCAGGTCCTTTCAGCAACAAACGTGGGGACAGTCCTTAGCCCTTGCACCCCCCTAAATTCATCCCTGAGCTTCTGCACCCCTTAACCCCACAGAAGCCAGCCTCGCCCCCTCCCGTCACAGCCCCTTGTGAGGGGGAGCAAGGGCGACACTACCCTGCAGAGCCAACGCAACTGGGTGGGATGGGAGGTACCAAAGTGGGCTCTTAATTAATTCAGGTGAGCCCTTAATTAGCAACAACTCGTGAAAGGTCCAGCTGGGGGAAATCAGGTGTGATTGGGGCACTTTGTGAGCAGTGACTGATGGACCGCATGGTCCTGCCCCTACATCGGGGGAAAGCCCTGACTCTCGGAGAGAGTCACGATGACGGCTCTCCAAGCGGGAGAAGGGGGTATCCCCAAGGGGCCACCCGGCCAGGCTGGGGTGTCCCCAACACCTGAACCTGGAACGCCCGGGGCTGGGGCAGCCCAAAGCGGAGCGAGGCAGCCTCCAGCACCCCCGGAGAGGGCATTCACAGAGGGCGCTGAGGATGCCGGTACCACCGGGAGTCCCGCTTGGGACAGGGTGTCACAGAGCGGGGCGTGGGGTACCCGAAGAGCGGGGCGGGGTGGACCGTGCCGCGCCCCCGCCCCCACGGCCGCTCGGGGGCCGCCCACCGGGGCCGGCACCGCCCCCCGCTCACCTGTGCGACGGGAGCGGAGCGGGGAGGCACAGCCGCGGCCCCACCGCCACTCCGGCGGGACCCCCGGCGCCCCCGGTACCCGGCGGGACCCTCACCCCGATCCCCTCCGCCCTCCCGCGCCGCGCCGCGCCCGCCACCGTTTGAACGGCGCGAGGCGCCCGCCTCGCCCCCATTGGCCGCGCCGCCCGCCCGTCAAGCCGCTTCCCGCCTGCCCATTGGCCGCGCCCGCCGAGCGGGGCGGAGCGCAGGGGCCCGGCGCGGCGGTATAAAAGGCGGGGGCCGCGCGGGCGGGCGCTCAGTGCCCCGTGCGCGACAGGTACGGGCGGGCTCGGGGGGGGGCGGGGGCGGTGCCGGAGCGGGGGTGGGCGGGGCGGGCGGGAGCGCGCGGGAGCGCGCGGGGAGGGCGGGGCGGGCGGGGGGCGGTGCCGCGCGGGAGGGGCGGGGCGGGGGCGCGCGCGGCGCTGGTGGCGCTGCCCGCCCGCGCCGTCCGTGCTCGGAGCGCGGCGGCGGCGGCGGCAGCAGCGGGAGCCCCCGGCGATGCCCGCGCTGCTCCCGCCGCTGGCCGCCCCCTGAAGACACCCCTCTCTATTGCCTCCCTTCTCCAGCGACCTCAGGCTCTGCGCCCCCTTTTCCCCCTTCCTTCCTTCCCCCCTTCCCTTTATTCCCTCCCCCCCCTCCCTTCCCAGCCTCTTTATCCTCCTTTCCTTGAGACCCTCCGCACCCGCCCGGCTGCCGTGTGGATGCGGGCCGGGGTGCCTGGCTGCGCGGGCGGCGAGAGCCGATGCTGAGGGGCCGGAGGAGGATGGAGTGCACCCTCGATGCGCAGAGTTTGATCAGTATTTCCCTGCGGAAGATCCACAGCTCCCGCACGCAGCGAGGCGGCATCAAGCTCCACAAGAACCTGCTCGTCTCCTATGTGCTCCGCAACGCCCGGCAGCTCTACCTGAGCGAGCGCTACGCCGAGCTCTACCGCCGCCAGCAGCAGCACTACCCCGACGGCGCCCCGCTCCTCGCCATGCCCGCCTGCCCGCCGCCCGCCGCCGCCGCCCCGCCGGAGCTGGCGGCGCTCCCGCTGCCCGCCGACACGCAGGACCGCGAGGCGCGGAGCTGCGGGGCTGCGCGGGGCGGCGCGGAGCTGCTGGAGGTGCCGGTGTGCGCGGCGCCCCCGGAGCTGCAGAGAGCGCCCTGCAGAGACTCGTCCCCGGGCTTCTACCGGGCCCCCGGCAGCGCCGGTCCCGGTGGCGGAGGCGCGGCCCCGGGGCTGCTCTACGCCGCCGGCTGTGACTTCGGGAGCGGCGGGGCCCCGCACTGTAGCAGCCGCACCACGGTGCTGGATTTGGACACTCACGTCGTGACCACGGTGGAGAACGGGTACTTGCACCAGGACTGCTGCTCGCAGTGCCCCTGCTGCTGCCAGCCGGCACCGGGGCTCGCCTCCCCGCCGCCCGCGCCCGGCACCAAGCGCAAGTATTACCCGGGGCAGGAGGAGGAAGAGGAGGGGGTGGAGGAAGGGGAGCCGGGGGGAGGCGGGGTGGCGGGCGGCCCCCCCTTCGCCCCGTGCACCAAACGCGCCCGCTTCGAGGAGTACAGCGCCGAGCACCCCCAGGACTCTTCCAACATCTCCAACTTGATCTCCATCTTCGGCTCCGGTTTCACGGGGCTGGTGAGCCGGCAGCAGGCGGACTCGGAGCAGCCCCTCAACGGGCAGCTGTGCAGCAAGCAGGCGCTGGCGAGCCTGGGAGCCTGGACTCGGGCCATCGTCGCGTTTTAGAGAGGAGCGGAGGAGCAGAGGGGGCGGGGGGGGTCTTGGCAAAACGGGGGTGCGATCCGAGGAACGGCGGCTCCGGAGGGGGGACCCTGAAACAAAGGCGGGGAGGGGGGTTGGGGCGAAGGGAGGGGGGGTGGGGGGTGTCGAGGGGTGCGCAGGGGAGGCGGGAGGGCAGAGCCACGCTAGTGTTTTATAAATTGTACAATAAAGAAAAAAAAATCTAAGCGCTTTGGACCATATTTTTGCAGAGATGAGAGAAAAAAAAAAAAACAACAAACAAACAAAACAAAAAAAAAAAAGCCAAGCAAACAAACGAAAACAAAACAAAACAAAAAAACAACAGCGAAGCACCTATTTAAATAATCCTCTTTGTGTCCGCTCGGGTTCTCTTCGCGGCGGGTTTCCCGGGGCCGGTGCTGGCGGCCGGTAGAGCCACGTGAGAGCCGGTACCGGCCCCGGGACCCTGCGGCGGGAGCGCCCCCGGCCCCGCTCCCCGCCCCGGGCCGCCCCGCGGGTCCCGCCGCCCCCGGCCCGGCGGGTTTCGGGGTGCGGGCAGGGGAAAGCAGCCGCTGCCCCTTCGCTTTTGTGCGTTTCTTTATCTATTTAAAAAAAGGGAAGGGCGGAAAAAAAAAAAAAAAAGGCAGAAATGAAAACATTTCAACTTTCCTCCCAGAAGAAACGTGTGCGATGTGACTTCTTCCCACCGCTTGTGCCAGGGGAGCGCTGGAGGGTTCCGAGAGCTGAATTTTGGGGGGGGGTGGGAAGGGGGTAAAGCAAAAGCCGGGGGTCCCTCCGGGCTGTGCCCCGCTGGGGAGGGGGTGAGTCGCCCCCGACAGCCCCGAGTCTCCTCCTCGGTGTGTGCTTGTGATGCCGCAGGTAACACGACTCACGTCTCCGGTGTGTGTGTCGGGTCTGACTCTTTTTTTTTTTTTTTTTTTTCCCTTCTTCTATTTTTTTTCTTAAGTTCAACTGTTCTGGTTTCAGGCTTCCCAATCATAAAACCAGCATTGTTTGGTCTTGTGAAGAAATCTGTCTCCTGTAGAGTCTCCTGGTTTTTTTACATTATTTTTTTTAAAGAAAAACCTTTTGTTGTAAAAAGGTGGGTTTTCTGGTCGTCGTCCCCTCCTCTATTTTTTTTTTTTTTGCCCACTCCCAACTTCACGGTATTAGCACTGTGTGTAACTGAGGATGCTTTGCCAAACGGTCTGTTGGGGTCTTTTTTTTTTTTCCTCCTCTTTTTCTTTGTTTGTAAGCCTGTATTTTTGTGCATATGGAATTGTATATCACCGGGTAAAACTGTTCAGATTTGTTTAAATTTATAATCTTAATAAAAAGTCGATTATAAAGTTGCTGTGCCCTCGCTTTCCTTCACCCCGCAGCCCGAGGAAGCCCCTCTCCTGAGCCGCCGCTTCCCCTCTGCACGGGGGAGCCTTTGCCGAGGCTTCCACCCCCCAGTGCGCCCCCCAGCCCCAGAAAAACCCCTTTGTCCCCTCCCCAACACCATCCAGCTTCACCCTCTCCCCCACACGCTCACCCGCAGCCCCCCCCCCCGGCTGCCAGGACGCAACAAAAGCCCCCCCTTGGGTCTGGCGGTGCCGCGCAAGGCAAGTCCCAGGTGGGGAAGGGACCGGTGGGGAAGGGGCCGGGGGTCGGGCAAGGGGAGGCAGCGGGACCCCCCGGCCGTGCCCCGACCCGCACCTGGGCAGCGCCGCCGCCTCCGCGCCCCCCGACGTGCTCGGGAAGTTTTTTTTAAGTTGGAGTTTGTTATCCCCGCGCGGGGCCGCTGGGTGGTGCGGGCGGGTTTTCCTTTCCCCCCCCCCCCCCTTTTTGTGTGTATGTGTATTTATCCCCTCCCCTCCTTTACCCCACAGGAACGAGCCGGGGCCGCTCCTCACCCCCCCCCCCGACCACCTCAGGAGGGGAGGATTATTATTTTTTTTTAACCCCGTGCATTACGCGCAGTTCCCAGCACTCAGCGCAAACGCCACAGCCAGACCGCCCCTCTACCCCCGCACCTCCAGCACCCCCCCAGCATCCTCAGGAGCCCCCCCCAACCAACACACGGACAACTCCCTCCCCTTCACAACCCCGCGCATCACCGCGGGAGCTCAACCTTCCCCTCTCCAGGGGGACGAGAAACCGCAAACATGGGATCGCGGAGCGGGGCGGGGGTTGGAGGTGGGGGGTTCGCGGTGCGGAGGAGCCGGAGCGCGGAGCCCCCCGCCCGGGCTGCGCCCCCGCTCCGCGCCCCGCGCCCGCTCCGCGTCCGCAGCGCCGCCTGGTGCCCGCCGAGGGACCCGCAGCGCTGTGCGGGGCCGGGGGGACCGCGAGGGACGGGGGCGGCCGCGACCCCCCCCCGTGGGGCAGAGGAGGCCGCGCTGCCCACCCCCGGTGCTGCTGCCCCTCGCCCTGCTCCCACTGTGGAGCTGAGCCCCGCTCCCCTCCCCTGCCGCTCCTCCAAATAACTCCCCCCACCCTCCCCCAGAAAAATTGCAATTAAAAATATAAACCACATAACCCCCTGCCCAGGCGCAGCAGCACTGCGGGAGCACCGCTGAGCGCACAAGCGCTCTGCGAGACCCAGGAGTTGGCTGGTTTGAGCAGGGGGGATTCACCCATGGGGCCGTGGAGAAGCCCCCTCCCTGCCCAGAGCCCCTGGACCGGGACCCCCGGGGCCTCACCCGGCCCCATCCCGCTCCACTGCTCCGGGAGTCGCAGCTTCCCAGCACGGAGGCGGCTGGAGAGGGGCCCCGGTCGTGGGATTAGCAGAAGCAGCCGCTCCTGCATCCACAGCCCTGGCTGCTGCACGCAATATTTGGGGGAAGTTTTAAAATCTAGGTGCTTCTGCAGGCGCCCACGGGTCAGCACAGCCGGGTGCTGAATCCCACCCCCAAATCCCTGTCCCGCAGCCCCAGCTCCAAGCAGCCCAGCCGGAGAGGAGCAGAGCTTCCTTTAGCCGAACAGCCACATGCACACAACCATCACCCTCCCACACCGCTCCCCATCTCCCAGACCTTGGGGTTTCCACTGGTACAGGGACCATCACCAGCATAAACCCCCGTTCCTTTAGGAACTCATCCAGGCGCACCCGTCCCTACAAACCTCCCCTCTCCTGGGGGGAGCCAACCCTCGCCCGCGTTCGCAGTGGAAGTTTCTGGGGCTTCACTCAAGGTTTCAAAGGCAAAGCCGCCTCTGCATCACTGGTACACACGCGGGGAGGGGGTGTCGGGGTGCATATGCCACAGGGACACTCAAAAATCCCCGTCACCGAGGAACGAGGAGATCCCACAGCTCCGCGGAGCCGCGAAGACTCACACGCTCTCGCTGGCGCAGTTATTTATTTATTTTAAACCCTGGTACATGACATTTCTCTTCTTACGAAGGCGGTAGCAGCAGAAAGCCCATCACAGCCTCTCCTGAAAGCAGAGCCTGGAAACCAGAGTCTCATCTGCATATTCATAAGTACCTGATAAATTAATCATGATGGCAGAAGCATTCAGGCTAGAAGGGAGGTGACAGGGGAAGGTTGCACCCCCCAACACAAGCCCATCCTCACTCTCGCACACGCTCCTCGTCTTCCAGGCACAAAATGTTTTGATCCCTTCGCAACTCGGCTGAACCTCCTGCGTGCTCGCGGGGAAAAGGGCTGTGCCCCTCACACGCCCCGGTAGGCACCCGCCACCTCGCCCCCCACCCCTCCGGTCCCTGACTCCGCGTGGAGATGCAGAACAGATGGGCTGGAGCAGGGTGGAGGACCCAAAATCTGGGGGAACTCAGCTGCCACCGCCAGACCCCCCAGCCCAGCCGCGAGCACCGCTCCCATGTCAGCGCCTGTCCCCACCCCGGCTCTGCCCCCAGCGCGGTCCAACAGCGCTGCCCGACCTTACAGACGGTGGTGCTGAAGCCAAAGATTTTGACCCTAAAAATCCTCTCGTGTCCTCTGTCCCGTTAGTGCCCTCTCGGCTGGGGGTGAACGGGCATCGCCAGGATTTCGTGCCCGGCAGCCCCGGAGCGGGAACAAGGCACAGAGGGGGCAGATGGAGCCTGACTCGCACAGAACCGCGGGAGGTGGGAGCTGGGGGAGAGCGAGGGGAGTCGGGGGGCAGCCAGGGCAGAGGGAACCGCCTCTGTGCACACACCGCTCGCTCTGCCAGCTGCGACACAGCTGTGCCTTTCCCTTCACAGCTCAAAACGCTCTCCATAAGCAGACCCAGTGCTTGCGGTGTCCTCAGTGTCACTCCACTGAACCCCCTTGGTTGGGGGAAGAGTCACCCTGCCCCGAGGAGAGCCAAAAATTCAACCCGAAGCTGGAGCAGCGCCTGAGCCCACCCCGCTTTTCCCGGGAGCCGCCTTCGGCAGAGCAGTCAGGAGGGGCAGAAAGCGGCTGCTCGCAGAGCCCAGGAGGGTCCGGACCTCCCATTATTTCCTGAACCTAGAGGCTGTCACAGCGGTGGCTGCAGAGCTGGGCTGGCTCACAACAGCAGAGGGTCAGCACAGACCCAACACACAGCAGTCACTGGGCTCTGCCCAGCTCCCACGGGAGCTTGCAGGGCTCAAGTCTGGCATTAGGAAGTCATGGATCAGATCCGGTGCCAAAGCCAACAGCCCAGCTAAGTCCTAATGCCACTGGAACAGCTCAGCCTGGAACAGAGCATCACCACACACCCAACAGGTCCCTCCACACAGGAGGGGCAAGGATGGACACAGCGACGGAGAACTGACCCCTCTCACCGCCCAGGCTGCCAGCCCAGCTCACCCCCAGTCCCCAGCTTCCCAGGGAGGGGTTGGACATGTATCCAAGCAAAACCCACCCTTGCACCACGAGCCAGGCACCAATTCCCAGGTACTGACCCACAGCTGGAGCTGTTCCATATCCTCCTAAACCACGAGTGCCAAGAAGGAGACCGTACCCGGTCCCAGCAGCACATCCCCAGAAGGGTAACTTTGTGCTCTGCCAAACCCAGTGCAGGATCTGTCCATCCTTCCATCTGTTGCCTGGGAGTCAGATCCCTCCCATCTCCTCTCCCCAGCTCAAATCCGAATGAACAGAAGAATATTTTGGGATCTGCACATGTTAGCAGCTGTTTGGAGGAGTCCCCTGCAGAGAGAGCAGTAGGGGAGCAAAGGGGGACCCAGAGGCCACTCCAGTTAGCAGTGTGTTTAACGTGTGGGGTTTGGTCTGGGCCTGGGTAATTAGCACCTGAGCAGTAATTATTCACACTTGGCCTTTCTATATCCTGCTTATAGATTTGATGAT